TTTACCTTCAAATTATATCCAGAATCCAACCACTTCTCATCACTCCCACTGCTATCACCTTCCTTAGAGCAATTCTTCACTTACTGGTCTGAATCCACTGCTGAACTCAATTAAGGGAAGAATCAGTAAGATTCTTTTTTGCTTATTTCTCTTCCTGTCCCTTGTAATTCTCACAGTATCAGACACAGAGTAAACACTCAACAAACATTAACTGCATGGATGAAATAATCTCCTGAACTCTAAGCACTTGTTCAGAGATCACCCTCACTTATTTAACAGCTTATGTAGCATTTTTTGCTCATGTGCAGAAGGGCAATTCCACTGCGTGTGGATTCACTGTGGAATGTATTCCTCAAGGCCTGGGATCCTCGAGGTGTTGATCATTCTGTTGCCTTCACAAGATTTTTGTGCTCTTACTTAACTACTGTGTTGTTCTATGTCCCTGACCAAGTTTCTGATAGAATCTAAGGTTATATGCATGGTTCCTAAATAATCTGTTTTCCAGAACTGCTATTTCCTGGTAACATTTTATTAAGTCTGTAGTTATTTCAAGACCAATACATTCTTCAGCTATCTTTTTGTAATCATTTGAGCATAAATATAAATCATAATCCTTCATTCTTACAATGCTTCTAATAGTACATGCGAGTAATTTTCAAGGTCTTTTGTTAAAAAAAAATCTTTAAACAGGTGACCCCTCTTACAAATAAATCTAATGCAACTATATGCAGCTGGGTGGCTCTAGTCAAAGTGGCAGTAGGGTCCCCTCTCCTCCCCCTTCTCTGGAGGACCTCTGTGGTACTTTCACAGATCTCTGGGGCTCTGCAAAACCCAGCTGGAAAACCAAAACCACTGGTCTGTTTCTTAGTAAATAACAGTGGCTTGTATATCACTTTGCAAATTCAGTTTAAGCATATTATTAAGTCATACCTTAAATGCACCTGGAGCATACACTGCTCAAAAGCACCCTGATGTAAATTCTTATGTTTAATAAATAATTATAACTGTTCTATCCATTTTTAACGCTTAGATTCTTCACACATTAAGCTTTCTTAAATCAGGTATCTAAGGAAGGAATAAAAGCAGTTCTATTTTTGCCAGCCTTATAAAAACAATCACTATTTCTCCCTTTCTCCCTTCTGTGTACTCTTCAACCAACAGATGTCACTAAAGATACCATTACCCAGAGGCAAAGGGAAGAAAAGATTAGACAAATGGAAATTGAGCATAAAAAACATCCAGTTCTTAAAACAGAGAAGTAGGTTTCCAAAGTAATAACATTTATTACACTGCATGCAACATTTTAACCAAAAATTTAAGAAAGAAATTTCTTTTATTAAGTTGCTCAGGCTGAACAGATCATAGCACTAAATTTTGAAATACGTGTTCTTGAAGCAATTTAAAACTCATTAGAAATAATAGGCTTGGGCTAGTAGAAAATGTGGTAAAATCTAATCCTCATCCAAATGTTACCTGGGCTGTGCAAACAGGAAATTGTTTTGTGCTACTGTGGCTAACCTCACTGCTGACCCTGAGCTGTAACGGCGAGAGCAGCTGAGAGCTGAAGCAAAATTAAAAACTTACATCAAAGTATATCATGACAGAATGTAGATAAATAAAACAGCATATCAGAAGTATTATTTTCCTGCCAGTCTCACTGAGCAGCAAGGTGGAGGTATTCTACAAAATACATAACAAATCAGGTGCATTTGGAAATTTCCGAGTCCTTCCGCCTCTGCACCGCCCCAATCACTGACTACACAAGTACTGCCCATGAGAGGTGAGCAGAGAAGTAACCCAGTGAGAATGGGAACAGAAGGGATCAAAGAATGTTCTGGCCTCTTTCCTCCATGGGCTTCCCCTTCCTTCACCTTGGCTTACCAAAGAAATAAACAATGCCCGCTCTTCTGTCATTCTTTCCCTCACTGTCTAGACTCCTGGATGGCAACCACACGATCTCCCTTCAGTGAGCATATTAGAACCTCCAGAGGTAAAAGCATGGGTAATAAAACATCACAGAAGGTAAAGACAGACAAAATCAAGCTTGGCTGATCAGGGCCGGCATGGGAATCATGAAGGCTGAAAAAGGCTTTTCTACTATACTATGTAACATGCATGTGTCAGAGTTACTGGCGACAAAGTTAAAGGACATTCTGCCCTTGAGTTCCCTTTGACTTTGACTTCCCTTAAATTTTAGGACAGAAACCACCATACTTTAAAGAACAGTGCTTCATCAAAAATACCAAAGGCACAATTTTCATGTGGCAACTCCCAAGTGGCAGAAAGGAATATGGAAAGGCTGTTATATGAAGTTATACAGACTTGGAATGAAATTCCAATCTGACTACTTGCCAGCTATGCAACATCTGGTGAATCTCTTAACCTCCATGACTTCAATTTCTCCATAACAGTAATTGTAGTAACTAACTGGTCTAAGGGCTTTCCACGCATTGCGTAACTGAATCCTCATAACCACCTTACACAGTGTATTATTTTCTCTGTTTAACAAGAAGCTGAAGCAAGAGAGGCTGAGCAACTCAACCAAGGCCAAATGACTAGTGAGTGGCAGATGATAATACCTTAAGGATTCAACGGGCTAATGAATGATAAATGGTCTAGTATAGGAGCAGGCACATAGTAGCTGATTAAAAGAATGGAAGCTACCGTCATTATTAGTCCAAACTGAGGAGCAGAGCCTTACCCTAATTTCCTGGTCCTTCTTCAGTGTTAAGAAAACTTCTTACTGGCTTTTCTTCTCAAGAACACTTTGGAGGTTTTCTCTTGTCTGCTCCACCTTCTCTTCTTCCTTTTCTCCCTCTCTCTCTGTCTCCCCCTCCTCCAATGTAATACTCACACAGTTACCTTTCTCAGCTTTTGCTGCAATGATTTTGTCTATGTCAAACAACCTGACAGAAGACTGAAGAGCTTTTGAAGCCCATAGATTTGACATCACATTTGACATCACTGAATAGCTTTTGAAGCCCATAGATTTGGTGCCACTTGCTGGACATACATTCTGTCCTACACTAGAGATCCAGTGATACCGGAAGAGCAGGGAGCTGCTGCTCTCATCAGCCCTATTGCAACAGTAAGTAAGCCTCAAAGGAAACATTACACTTAATGAGAGAAACTGGATCCAGAAAAGGGGGAAGGAAAGATACAATTGTGGACAGTAATAGGATTCATTTGTACAGTTAAAGCTCTATTTATTATTAAGAAATTCTTATACATGCATTGTTTCAGAATGGGAAATATGACTTCTTTTTAAAAAGCGAGGAGACACTTAGCACTTGTCACAGGCAGAAGGAAGCAGGACAGTATGGTCCAAGCAGGAGGCATCCCTGAACAAAAGAGTGATTGGTTTTTTGTTTTGGTCAGTGAACTCCTATCCAAAGAAGGCTAGCTCTGTGAGTGTAAGAGAATGACTTTGGCTCACTGAGTACCTAATCCATATCACACCCTGTGCCAAGTCTTTTACTTCAAGTAGCTCAGTTAACCACCTCTGATCCTAACTAGACAGGTAGGTTGGTAGGTATTCATTATTTTTAATTTCATCTAGGAGAAAACTAGACACAAAGAGGCTTGGCTGAAGGTCATGGAGTTGATGAGGGCTGGTATTAGGAATGGTACTAGATCCTTAAATCTCCAAAAACAATGCTTTTTCTAAAATACCATGCTTTTGGAAAAAGAGCCAGTCATCTATTTTTGCATGATAAGATGCTGGAAGGATTAGATACACCCTGGAAATGCAGCTAACTGTATTGAGAGTATTTAAAAAGGGGTCCATTTTTACCTTCAGGAGGCAAACCATTTCTACTTTATATGATTCTAATGTGTCCATTTTCAACCAACAGTTGTGGCAATATAGTTGCTGGTACAGATGAAAATAAGAGAGTGCAGGTCTACTGCCTTCAAGAGGTGCTCTCTGCAGTTTCCATACACTTAAAATCTCTTAACTCTAAAAATTAAATGTACAATTAAAACTAAGCATTTTTAACAGAGGCCTACACTGCACACAGAACAGAGTTCCAGAATGTTTTGAGTTGAAGTAAAAACAATTTAAAACAACTGTTTTTCTGCTTCTGAAAGAAATAGGCTTTTACTTCTAAAAAAGTTTTATGCTTCAACGATTGTTCCTACATGTACACTTAAAGAAGCTTCACAAAATTTCATAAAATCTGTTTCTAGGTACTCAAAAAGAAGTGTAAGAATCACAGGCAATTTTTGAGGCCAAACATAGAGTTGGCTATTGATTTGGGAAAGTAAGAACAGATAGGCAAAAAAGGAGACAAAGAATAAGACACAGAAACATCTCTCAAGGAGAAGAACAATGCAGAGTCCAGCTTACAGTTAGTGTTCAGTGAGTGTGTGGCAAACCATCAGAGGATTCTTACCCACTGTATCACACCCTCATTCCCTGGCTGTATAAAGGTTTCAGAAATTGAGAATTTCACTGATGAAGCTGTCAGAATTGGCAAGTATTAGGGTTTATGGTAGTTCCAAGGCTCAATTCTAACTACTAACCATTTTTTTTTACTCTAATTGAATAGGACAATCTTTACTGTAGAACTCTGATTCCGGGGGTGCAGTACCCCAAAATTCCCTATAAAAATATTTACTGCTTTTTACCAGGGTATCTTTCCGAAATCCAGTGCTGGTGACATACTGAGTTTAACATTCTTTCCAAGATGTAACTTTTAGCAATTCTGAATGTGCTATAACTTTTCAATATTCTATCTAGTGTATTCCTTTTGCCTACTGACGCTGCAATTTTATCCAGAAGAAATTCATCAAGTTGGTCAGGCATGATCTGTAGTCAGAGGCATGCTGCTTACTTCTGATGCCAATATGATAGCTACCTGGCTTCATGCACTCCTATCATCCACTTCACAAATTCATACAGATATGAAGGTTCAAAAGAACAAAATAACTAACATCTTTCTTTCCTCCAAAGAGATAAAACTTATATTGCAGAGACAAATATGGAAAAGGATACTCACCGTAAGTGCAAATCATTTTACTAGCTTCTCTGAAGAGAAGAATTCCATTAGGAGATGATACATCAAAATTCAAACGCTGGGATCTAAGAAATACAGCAAAAATTCAGACTATATGTGCAGATAAAGAAACCAAATAAAGACTCAAAATACCTAGAACTTTCATTTATTAGAAGTAGCAGCAGTACAATGATCCCTTTTTAAAGTGCCATTCCATTTACTAGTGCTGATAAAATGTGTGTGCTAATTTTCTCACTATAAAGATACTGGGACAATTAAGTTATTTTCTTTTATTTGCTGATTCAAAGAATTCAGTTTTTTATCCATCAAACAACATCGTGACATCTTATATCACAGACCTCTTACCCCCCTTCTCCTTTCATGCAAAGTGGTTGACAGATAATAAAAAACCCCAAGTATGTATGTGTAACTTTATATAGATACTCGGGTAGAGATTTACATCTGAGATCTCCTACAGTGCCCAACACACAGCATTAAAACAAATTCTAAAATAACAGGTAGGAAATCTAGGTCCCTTTCGTACTGCTCATATGCATAATGAATCATCTGATACTTCAAGCATATTTCAAACACCTTGAGTTACATACAGATTATAAGTTACCATTGCACATGGATCACATAAAGAGAAATAAGTTCTAAATGAGAACAGTTCTGCTTCCCTAGTTCCTGACATGTGGGGAAGAGTAGGAAAATGGTAAAGAACTGACATGCTATCCTGACATACCATTTGCTTTTTTTAACATCACTTTGCCTTTAGCTGGCTCTGATTATGCCTTGTCACTCTGCTTTCAAGAAATAATAGTATATTTGTACATGGATTAGCAAAAATATCAAACAGATCACAGCAAAGAAATATCAAAAACCAAAGATACTTGCTAACGTCCTTTCGCCAGGAATAGAATAAATTGTTGCTTCTCTATATGCTTTTTCAAAATGCTTTAGAATTAAGAGCAATTACAACTTATTAGAAATATTATTGTAAATGTCTGATTGTTGACATACAATTCCTGATTAAAGAAATATATATATACATAATTCACATTAGGTTCTAGAGAAACAAAGACAAGATAATATTTTCTGATATTACAAATTTTTACTAGGTAGTTCTTAGGACACTTGTGCTAGATATGGATTATCCATCTACGGCAAATACAAAATACTTTACAATGTAATGTTTTTCCTTTAGTATTAAATATCAGTAATAAATAATATCAATTATTTGGCTGAAATAATTATAGCTTAATAAAACCTAAATTTCTAATATAAAATATATAGCCACAGTTCCTTTAGAATTTAAGGCACCTATGAGAATAGTTAGAAAAAAAAACTAACAGTTTTCAAGAGAATAATACTCACATTTATTTATTTGCCAGGTCTTTTTCTACCTCTTGCTTTAAAAATTTTAAATTTTTGCTGCGAAAAACTCAGCACCAGAGATTAAATTAGAGCTGCAATCCATACTCCTTTCCTGCCTGGATATATCCCTTTCAACACGCAGTTTACAAAGAGGAACTGATGAAACGGGATGGCTAAGTGACAAGTAATTTGGTGCGAAGCCATATTCATAATGACATATTTTAAAGAGGCAAAACCAATTAGCTTATTGCAATTTTTCTCTTTTAGCTACATCTTTGTTAATATTTATATACAGAGAATTTGAATATCCGTTTGTCTATGTAAACTATAAGGTCAACAAGGTAATTTCTGAGAAGTGTTGTAGTTGGTATTTAAATAAAAATTGTTGACTGCATAAATCATCCACATACATGCATCTTGGTACAGAGGAAAAAGGATAACTCAGAAGCCAAAGTAGGGACAATCCCCAGGGCTTCTGAGACAAACTGTGTGTCCATGAATTGCTCTGGGACTCAGTCCCCTTATCTATGAAAATAAAGCATCTCATCTCAGAGACCTCTAAACTTCTTTCCTCCTTAAAAATTCTACAGAATTGCAGTTAAGCAATGAAACAGTTAAAATATCTGCCCTTCCTCCATTTTGTGCCTTTGAATATTTTAAATAATGGTAGCTGCAGTCTTCCAAATTTTTTTCCACTTCCCATAGTCCCCATATATACCTAAGTATATTATATTCTTTCTCTCCAAAGGTCTCAACCTTGTATCTCTAGTTCTGTCACCTTCACTGATCATCTTAAGTTTCGGTTCCTGGGTTCTTGCTAAGCCTTAAATACACACACATCAGGCAGGAAAGTCTGGCCTTTGGGGAGTGATGCCAAATAGGAGAGTATTTTTTCCACTCCCCTATCACACCTCTTACCTGTTTTGCATCAGTTCTGCCATAAGCTTTAAGATGGGAGTTGTACATGCTGGCTCTCCATACCACTGCTCAATGGCTCTCTGAAGAATGGGAAGATATGTTGGGTACCTTTTATAAAAGCCTGTTAAAGAATTTAAGGGTCAAAAGAAATATTGTTCCTGAAAATTAGTGCCACTTCGAAAGAAAAAAAAAAGGAATCCATATTTGTTCTATGTTTAGCACACAATGGTAATTTAAAAAAATTGCTCTCCCTAACCTGTACAGCTGTACTTTTCTTGGGGACTTGCTCTTAATTGTGAACATATCTCATACATATATATTGCTTTATTCTTGGCATATTCTATAAATAAAAGGCATACTTTTAAAGTATCATGTAAGTAACATATTTAAAGCATTACACTTAAAAATTGAAGAAAAGAAAAAAATTTAGTTAACAAGGATGAAAACGTCTGAATTGCTATTTATCAGTTTCTTGGGCATCAAACTACTTAAAAATGTTGCATGTTATGTAACTTTTAAAATACATGAAAGTAGAGGGAAATAGTAATAAACCCAATGTATTTATCTCCCAGCTTAGAAATTATCTACATTCTTTTTTTTTTTTTTTAAAGTTGTTGACTTAACTTTGCTTAGTCCCAGTAAGGCTCCAAGGAACACCGGGAATGCTAGCTTGAAAAAAGCTTTGGATAACTTTTAATCTACTCAAGGTCAGTTTTGCTAAAAGGCAGTCCCATGTATACTCAAGGAGAAATTCTCAAACATCCCCATCAACACTAAGGAGTGTATGCGTCTGTTAAGTCAACGGCTGAGACCATCAAAGCCTGGAAAATTCTGACTCAGCTCCACTGGCCCTTTAACCCATAACTGGTCTCCTCCTTGCTAAATGGCCAGAAAAGTGTAAAATCAAGGCCTAAAACTGCAGCAGAAAAAAAAGTTCTTCCTATGCTACTACCTTCACTTCCTTTTTCTTCTCCTAATCCCTAAATGTCTCTCTTTCTGATGTTTTCCAACACGGGTGTCTTTTTGTTTCAGGCCAAAGTGTGGAACTCAGTCACTTACTGGTGTTCCTTTCCTGTGTGGTATGGGTAGTGATCTCCATGGTGAGAAACATCATAATTTTCCTTCCTGCTCTTAGAATACGTTTCAAGTTCCTTATCATGGCAAAAAAGGTCCTTTAATACCTGGTCCCTGCCTACCTCCAGTCTCAACTCTTAGTACTCCTGCCTTATCTATGGTTTAGCCATTCTTAATTTTCTGCAAATCCACTGATGCCAACTCTCTCTCGTCTCTATTCCTCTATACGCAGCTTTATCTGCCTAACACACTCCTAACTATATTTCGACACTTTGCTCAAAGTTTTACTTCCCCTGGGATGGTGGAACTTTCTCTTTTTTCTGTCAAAAGGCATCAATCTCTTCCTCATCTAAGTTCAATGAGCACTTTGATCACATTTCTCTTATAACTGTATTAGGGTTGCTGGTTTGTATTACCCGTCTGCCTCATTAGATAGTGACTTTCTAAAGGACAAAGACCTGGGCTTCCCTACCATGTCCCTGTTAATTCCTATTTCTCCCTCATATTTCATTATATATGTTAATTATTCCAAGAAGCCTTCCTGACACCACCCCCACACCCCCGTGACTAAGTGTGTCACCTGTGCATGGCCCTGGTACCCTGTGCTAGTGCCATCATAGCATCTTCTCTCTCCTACAATAGTATACGCTATTTGAGGGCAGGCCCTAGGCACTTATCGCATGCATGATCCTAGCACAAAGTAGACTTCAACAAATATTTGTTGCTGTAAATCTGCCAACCCCAAAACGAGCTATAGTATATTTGATTAGAACTACCTAATTCTTTCAAGCTGTGCACTTCACTTTGAAGCTTCAGGAAATAATTCATGTAACATTCAGTGAAAAGAAACTTTCTAATACCTAGGAGTGGCATGCTCCCTAAAAGTGCAAAAAGCAACACTTTTGCCCCCCTAGATGTATCATGTATAGTATTGAAACAATTTACCTAATAAGTACTTATCAAAGGCCTATTCTGTAACTGTCTACTGTTTTTAAACTCTCTGGAGACATCAACGACCAAAAATTAAAAAATCCCTGCTCATGGAATTTATATTTCAATAAGACAGAAAAATAAATAAAAGAGATACACAGTATGCTAGGAAGAACTACAAAGGTAACAAGGCAGAGAGGGGAGATGAGAAGTGAGTGTGTATGTGTGACTGAGGGTTCAGCTGGATAAAAATGAAAAATATAAAATCAATTAACCTGATTATTAACTCTATTTTGGCTCTTGTCAGATAACTTGTTTTATTTTTTCTATGGAACAGAAAATCTGTCATTTTGGATAGAAGGTAGATATTATATGCTACGTGCTGTCCTAGGAGCTGGAGATTCAGAGGTAAGATATGGCTTTTATTCTTGGGGAATTCATGCTTCAGTCTGGGCGGTGTACACATAGTAGTGATGTACCCAAGATCTGAAGCAGTGCCAGAAGAGCTCAGGTGAGAAAGTATTCCACTGAGAGAGCTGAGCACAAACTCAGTGATCATCAATAGGAAAGTATCAGGAAACTGAAAAGACTCAGATCTCAGAATCTAAGAATATCATAATCACGCACAAACCCCTTTGCAAGACATTCTAAAGGCACTGGGACCATTACATTTTTCAGAGCATGCTGCATATATGGGATAAGGCCAGGGGATACGAGGGGATGCTCCCTTCTCTGTGTGGAATGAGAGTGGTGCCAACTTTAATATGCTTCTGACAGAGGTGACTGCCACAGAGAAAATGAGTGATTATTGGAAAGCAGAGTAGAAGTCTACCAAGCAGGGAGGTTAAAAGGGCTTCAGAGTGAGAGTGCCAGGCTCAGATTACAGGGTGAGGATCAGAACCCACTCTGAGTTTTAATTTTCCAGTGGCCTTGTGTGGACTACGTATATATGGATAAAAGGAAGACAGTGGGGGCCTTTGGTAGAGAGGGTACAGATCTAATTACTTTCACATAGATCTCCTCAATGAATTCCTAAGGTCTACAACAGATAAATGAAAACTCAAAAACATTAACGATAGGACATTGCCTTATAAGATGCCAAATAAGAAAAACTGAAAAGTACGAGGTTTGCTTCTTGACAACACCCACCCATCCATCCATCTATCCATCCATCCATCTGTCCATCCATTCCAGCAGTTATTAGTACTTATCATGTGCTAGACCCCAAGAAAACAAAAATGAGTAAAAACGTAATTCTTTCCCTTTGGGATTTCATAGTAGAGAAATAATTCTAATGTACTAGAGGGCAACAAAAGAGTTTTTGTTAAAACTGTTGAGTGTGAGAACGTGGTTCCAGAAAGAAATAGCCTGCAAGCTCAGAGCTTATTTTAAACATACGCCTTGAATGTGAAACGTCCATATCTTTGCTCATAGAGGCAAATGCTGCTGGGGAGCCTTTATTCTCTCTGTCTGGCAAATGCCTATACATCTTTCAACACCAAAATCAACTTTCACTTCCCGGGAAGTCTTTTTGCCCCAAACGCCAATCTCTTCCTCTTATATATTCATTTGGTCCTCTGCATGCCTCTTTGTTACAGCTCATGGATTGTTTATTGGTTATTTGTTATAGCCACTAGGTTATGAGCTTCTAAGGAGCAATCCATTTTATTCATTCTTGTAAAAAGGAATTGTTTTATTCATTCCTCATGCCTGGTACAGTGCACTCAAAAAGTGCCTGTTGAACAACAATTTTTCAGGTTTGCTTTTTTTTTTTTTTCTATTTCAGTTCTTCCAATATACTGCTGATTATCCTCTTCTTGAAACACAACTCTGATTCTGTTAGTCAATCAAGACCATTACTTGTTCTATAAAAATCTATGGAATAAGGGTCTAAATTCCTTAGACCGATATTCAAGGGTCCCAGACAACCCTTATGTCCATCCACAGAATAAGTGGTATCTATAACAAAACATCTACACTATTCTTCCTAAACGTGTGCTTAGACCAAGTGAAAACCCCTTACTTCACAGTCCCAACAGTCCAATCCTACTTATTCGGTAAGATCCAGGGAAATATCTTCACCTCTACAGAGCCTTTCCTGATGCCCCAGCTAAACACGATCACTCTATCTGTATCTTTGTCACGGCATGAATCACCTTCTATACTTTATTACATTGACTTGTGTAAGTACCTAACTGACTCTATTAACCTATAGGCTCATTTTGGGGTAGGATTTGAGTCTAAGCAATCTATATCCCTCATGAAACCCAGCACAGTCCTTAGTCAAATTTGCAGAGTAAGTGGGCAAATGGGATTCCTTCATCTCATTCCATATTCGGGAAAGGAACAAACAACAGAGGTGGAGTGTGTTTACTTTGTGCCAGACACTGTACTAGGCCCTTTGTACATGTCAGTTTACTCACTTCTTACAACCTACCTGTGAGATAGGTACTATTAGCTCTGTTTTATGAAGGAGAAAGCTGTGATTCTGAGACATTAAGCAAGAAGTTTACCCCAAACCCTAAAGGTTGTTAACCGGTAAAATCAGGACTGAAATCTAAGAGTGTCCTGTTCCAAAGTTTGTGCTTTCCTACATACCTCGTGGTCTTAACCTGTCTTTGTACAATGTGTTTATGCATATGAGTCAACAGCACTGACTGGATGACTGAAAAACTGTGGACTCAAAGATCGGGTTTATGACCATTAAAAGAATGAGTGTGAGGAAACAGCATCGTATACATTCCTTTTTTTTTCTTTTTTCTTTTTTTTCCTATTTCCCTCTGATTTTTGGTACTTCAGTCTAAGTATGATCTGGGAAAAGTTTAAACAAGGTGACTCCATGCACTGCAAAGTAAGGTGCTTTTATATTGTTGCATTCTAACCATAGGGGCATATCAATGATTCTTCTTCAATTTTCCAGTAGTGGAACAATTTATCAACATGGTTGCTGTGCAGTTTCAGGCAATTTAGGTTTGGAAGGACAGAGTGATAAGCAATATAGTTCACGTAGCAGTTAATGCAGTCAGTGTTTATAGAAATGTTTCTGAATTAAATAGCTAACCGCTAAAACAGCATTTTATCAAATAATCGCCATAAATAAAATGCATTTTGACTTTAAGATGACATGTGCTCTTAAAGGACGTTTCTTCTGCATGCTAAGGACTGTATAGCAAATTAAAGAACACACATTTATGTGGATAAAAGGCAAATAAACTTTCCCCAGCAGTAATGTGAGAATCATCACTGACGGTTTGACATATCAATATTTCAGGAAGAATAAATGACTTTCATATCCATGTTTTTTTTATCATATACTTATTCATTTTTACATTACTAGAATACTTTGGAGAGAATCTGTACTTTATCACCTGAAACTGCTTAAAGTATTTCGAAATATTTTAATAAAGCTTTTTGAATTATCAAATAATGTAACTTTTAACCAAATTTTACTATTATTATAAATATTTGCTCTTCATCCTTTGCCCAAAGGAAAACTATAAATCTTGTCTCAACTGAATGAACACCATTTATCATATTCATTTTGTTGTCAATACAATTATGAAAAGCCTTTGGCCTTTTCCCAAGGAAGCTGATTTGCTACTGAAACTCAATTATTATAAGCAAGGCCAGTAGCAAGCCACGCTGTTCGGCAGTATAACGCAGCTTCCTGCATAACTGGCACTTCGCCCTCCACCTCTGACCCTAATAACATCAACATCTTTGGTCAAAAGGAGGAGACAATGGTTTGTAGTCCAAAACAGGAAAGGACGTCCCAAGGTTTTCCATTTGCTATTTTCTGCCATCTGCTGGACAAAAGTTTCATTTCAGATAGGTGCCAAAAAGGAGCTACGTGAGGAAATGGAAAACAGACTTCATTAAAAACTTAAATTACAGTATGTTCTATAAGTATTTTAGTCAGTATCAATTATGACAGATATTTATAATCATTGATGCTGAGGGGAAAGTTCTGATCCTGACTTTTGGTTAAGACTGCTCATGAGGTAAACATGAAGCATTAATTGCTGGACAGCCTAGAGTTGCAGCTTGGTTTCAACATCAACATCAATTAAAGTGCCAAAACAAGGCTTCCATACTCTGTCAAATAATGTTTTTACCTTGTGAGCTCCCATTTACGTTTAGAGAAACAAAATGGTCATGTGTAATGCCAGTTAATTCTTCACAGTTAAAAGAAGTATATGACTTCACATGTTAAAATCTACAATCTTTTTGTGTAATTTGTATCCTGATACAGAGACATATATGATTCCTCAATGACATGGACATTTCTTCTCTAACCTTTCTATGGGCACATAAATCTGATAAAGCAGGTTTTAACAGTAACTAAAAACATAAGTCACTATTCAAATTAATGTTAAACAATTTATTTAATGCGTAGTGTTCTCCCTAAAACATGCCCAGATCTTGTTCGTTATGTTTTGGCCATAACTCTGCCATTAGTAGTTGAAGACTGCCTTTAAGAAGTTTTTTTTTGCAATTTAATTTATGAGGGAATTTTGATAAGAAGGGTTCGAAAGGAGCAACTAAGAAATAATGTGACTTAAAAAATAAAATAGCTTTAAGGTTATAGAGTTTTTCATATTTGCTTTCATGGTTTCAGGTACAAAGGGGTGAAAACATCGTCACACTTATATGACTTGTATAAATTGTCACTTTCGGTTAGGATCAAAGAGGATTCACACAATACTGTTAAAACAACATTGATAGTAACCATTCATAGCTACTGACTATGTTCCAGACACTATGAAAAGTGCATTACTTATTTCAGTGGTTACGATAAGCCATGATACTGGATGTCTCCTTGCTTTGATGAGGAAACTCAAAAAAGTGAAAAGACTTGCCAAAGTTTATACAGCAAATGGAGAGCTAGGAGTTTAAACCCATGCTCTTTTTACTCTTACATGAAGAGGCATTTCTGTGGGGGATGTTTGTTTCTTTGTTTACTTATTTTGTTGTCTGTACTAAGCCTTGGCAAAGGTAAATTCAAATTTTACATCAAATGAAACATCCTAACCATTTATTTCCCCCTTTTCATGTCCATGGATATTTTTATGATGATGAAAAACTACAGCATGATGAGCTAAGCCTTAAACAGATAAAGTGACCTTAGCCCTGCTAACTGAGATACAGCAGAAATCCAAATCTCCTAGAAAATGCCAAATGGTAGGATTCATTGATCCCGAATTAAAGACGTTGGCACAATTATCCCTGCAACCCCAATATAAACAATCATTTCAGGATGTGATTTTTAAGTTGTCAATATTTAATGGCCCCCCAAAAAGTGACCTCTCTGGGGCTGGGTTTCCAAATGCTGTGCTCAGTTATCTGTGCTGCTGCCACTGTGCTGTAATTTTTAGCTGATTACACATTAGTTCATTTAGCTTTGTTTCCTCTTCCCTACTGTGCCATACTATTAAACGAAAGCCAGGGGCCTGGCATCCCTCTGTGCACAGAGCTGGTATTGTCACAGTGTAATAAGGATACATCCAGTCAAACAGCATGGTGTAGCTGGTCTTTGTGTTCAGTGCAAAGGCAATCCCTCGAAGATCTCTTGCCAGCCCGATCAACATACGCTGTCAGTGGGAAAGAGACACTGTAATTGATTTTCACGTTAGCACAGAGCAGATGGAGTAATAATCAGGCAATAATGACCACATATCTGATTTTGATTCATTAGCTAAAATGTCTCGCTCAGACCGTTCTATAGAAAATCATAGACTTTTTAAGCAAACAGACCATCAAATCTGCTGACCAACTCTACTTTGCTTCTTAAAAATTGAGCTAAGTTATAATTCCAATAGCTTAGGAACATTTAGATTCTTAACATATTTTATTTCTGAATAATGCCCAGTTAGGAAAAAAAAAGATGAGGATTGATAATTCCACAAGACAGAAATGTACAGGGTCTAGACATTATTTAATAACACCAAATCTTAGCCACATTAGCGTGCAAGAAATCAGTCCCATTATGCAATTTGAAGCTTAACCTGAAAGCACACTGGCATTTAAAGGTCCCTAAGGAATATCCTTAGTAACTTAGGACAAAATAAAACTGGTCAGGTCACCTATTTGTACCATGACAGACTCAGAATGCGCTCACATTCCCAAGCAAGGACAAGTTGTAAGGAAAAAGTCGTTCTATATTCAGTATCAGAAGACTTGAATTTAAACCCAGCTTTACTTCTTAACTGTAAGACTTATTAAGGCAAGACAATTTATGTCTCAGTTTTCTCATCTTTAAAAGGGGCTAACACTGCCTCTCTCACAGAGGCACTGTCAGGAAAAAATAGAATAAATTTATGTAAAAATGCCTAACAAGAGCTTGATACATATGTCCAAATGTTCCATAAATATTTAGTTTTAGAGAAAAACAAAACAAAACAAACTTGTAAATATAAGAGATCTGACTTGCATTCTGGATTCTTAATTAAGCTGTCCTTAGGATGATACTTGGGAAGAAAAAAAGGAAAACCTATGAACAGATGCTACACTGTCACAACAAAGAGTACAAATAAACATAATTGCAAAACAAGGGGGTGGGATAATTGAGACAGGCAACTGTGATTTCTGAAGATACTGTTTCAGTGGAAATATTCTGCCAGAAAATGGTCTCTGAATTTTTCTTTTTATCAGATTTCCTTTTTCCTCACACTCTTGGTAATAAATGAAAATCTCTTTAGGAAGGCATTTAAATTATCATTAAGGACTTGGAAGTGAATCCTGACCCTCATCTTAATGGCGAACAAACATTTCAAAGCAGGAAACAGTTTATCTGTCAGAGTAGCTGTAATTTTTTCTCTCTCCCCTCCCCACCCCTGCAAAACTCTAAACCTAAAATGTGACTCAATGTAACTAGAATATTCCCTTTCTATACTGCCTAACAGCTTATAGAATGATGGCAATTTGAATTTCTGAATTTGTAAACCCTGAATTTCTTCTTCTGCTTCTTTAAATAATTTACTCTTTTCCACTTCATAATCTCACCAGTCCTTGTTTCTCTCTGATCGGCCAGTCTCCCTCTAGTTCTCATGTGACTGCTATTTTTTCAAAATCATTTTGCCTTTTAAGTAACCTGTTTTCACCACCGGAACCTATTCCCCTCCTTCTCAGCTTTCCATGTTTCTTATAGCTTCCAGAACAAAATATATCTTCTAAGAAGTTTTTTTTTTTAAATAATTCTATTTTAATTCACTTTGCAGTCTTTCTGTTAAAGTGCTTTTTTGTTCTATTTTTAATATGTACACTTATAGGTTACAGGCTACTCTTCAAATAATCTTAAGTTTTCACATATATATAAGGTACTCACCATTCAACTCTAAATTAGTCAATAGGAATCATGAGTTGTGTCTAGTAAAAAAGTCTCTTAGAATATTTTAGACTACCCCTATTACACAAAAAGGTAAATATTTATTTTACCAAAAATTTTTCCTTTCAAAGAAGCCAAGTTAATAGAAGGGCTCTAACGGACTCAAATCTATGAAATTACATCAATGTTTAATTTTAGAAAATGTTACTACAAAGCAGAGGAAGCATATGACAATATCATAACTCAATATGCTTTCAACAGATTCAAATAAACAGCAAAGTGCAGTGTTAATGTAAGAAACAGATTCCTTATGCTCAAATAATTTTTTTATCTCAAAGCAGCAAGAAAACTGGAATAATCTACAGAGATACTCAAACAACCCTAAGGGAGTACTTTCTTGGTAGCCAAAACATAACCAGTTCTGGGATGAGACAAGGAAAACTATTAACTAGGTGCTCAACCAGGATACCAAACAATTTCACAGAGTGAGATTTTATATTAAATTTCTGATTGAAATTTAAGGGAGGTGGAGCCATAATTTACCATCTCATTTAAAATAGTACAAAGAGGCTTATTTTGAAAGTTGCAGTTGGTCAACACTTGACTAATGTGAAAAGTGAGAGGCTCCTGTATTTTTAAAGAGGCTGTCTGGGGGGAGTGGGCCAGGACTGGGGTATCAGATCCTACAGATTCCTGTTTTGGATGGTTCCAGGAGAAGCTGCTTGGTGCTTCAGTCTTCTGCATGGTGAACGGTTGTCTGTGTGCCAAGTGTGAGACGGATGGGCTGGGAAACAGCTGAAATGCGGCTCCTTCCACCCTGACCCCCAAAACAGGGTTTCTAATGGAAAGTCTGACAGACCCTTTACTGTAGTGGCACTATTGGGGGCAGCTATAATATTATCCTCATAACTCTCCTATATAATAACAACAAAGAAAAAGAAGGTGAAGGGTCATTGTGCTTTGTCTTTAGAATTAAGATGGCTGTCTTCATCCTTACAGCATACTCTTAATTCTGGAGACACATCTTAATAACCTCTAAATAGTTCCAACAAAAGAGCCGTGTCAGAGGAATGAGCAGGCCCCAAGGTGTTTCAACTGGAGTGTTTTCATCTGCCTTTATTGCTCTATCCCTCTCCAGAATTAAGGCAATAACCTGTGATAAATTATTCAGGAACTGCTACAGGGATCAAAGCAAAATCATTCTGTTAAAGTGCTGTTTGCAACATTTGGCACTTAGTGCGAAAACTTTTAATGTGCGCATGCTGAAAATCTAGGATTTTAAATAATTTAACATTGTGGAGTTTTTACGAAGGGACTAAAGATAGCAGGTTCCTATTTAACTGCTCCTCTTCCTCAGAGAAGTCTTCATTCATTTTCTTTAAAACCAATGACATCACAGCCAAATCAAAAATGATGCACGGGGAGTCAGAGGACAGGACCATATTTTACTATAAATACAATCATAGGCAGAAAAACATACACTGTGAACTAACGCTTCAGAGCCAGGGTTTGTCGCGGCAATTTCTTTCTTTTCCCCTTTACTTTGAAAAGAAAAACCCAAGACAAAAATTCAATGTTCTCTTCAGTTTTATTAGGACTAAGTAAGAAAACAAAGCTATAAATTTAAGAGTTTTGCAGCATTTCCCCGCCTCAAAACCATATTTCAATTTGGCAATGTAGGTCCTTAATGTTTATGTTCATCCTGAAATTCGCATTTGAAAAATATCTATAAATATGGAGTTAGAAAATCCTGGTAAGGATTGCAAATTAAATGAATTTGGCAGTCCTGCAGCATTTTCATAGAGATATTTTAACAGCATCACCTCCCGTGGATTGGAATACTAAATACTTTATTGAAGAACAAAACAGAACTGTTTTTACCTCTAGTACTTGCAAAATGAAGTACCTGAAAGCACTTTTTGCATGTATTATTTATTTATCATGATAGAAAAATAGCCTTAACCTAATAAATTACATTTAAAAGCATTTAGTGCAAAAGTTTTGTTTATGATAAAGCAACAGATTTAGTTCTTTATCGGTAGCTTAAAGCACCAAGTTTTCTCTATACAAATTAGACAGATGGTGCTTACAGTAGAATTTACTAAAGGTCTGTCACAACAAATGCAGCCAAGCTGCATATTTAATCACTGCAGAATCTTGTCTACCTGCAGCTGCCAACTGCTAATCCAATTTCCCTGATAAATGTGGCAAGAGACACGATCAGCAATAAAGAGCATCTAACTCCATTTTCCTGCAGGGCGTCTTTTGATGAACATTTAGGACGGAAGCACGGAGTGCACTGTGTGGCCTTGGTTCGTGGCAGCTGCATGCATTCTGAGGCACAGTTCTCAGGTTACTCACTTAATTCTGCCGCTATCATTACGTTGCTATTGATCTCAGTAGCTGTTGCCTACACAGCATTACTCTAGATGAAGCTGAATCAGGCAGTTATCATGCATCAAACTTGCTCAAAAGCCTGGAGATTTCCCCTTAATTACTTGTGATTTTATTTGCAAATACCGTTAAAGTGTAATCAAGCAGTCACTTTCCAGGGTCGTTAAGAACTTGCTGGTTTAGGGATATATCACTGGAACTCCATTAAATATGACTCTAGGAAGATGGTTTCTATCAAACTAGATGGGATTACATCAAAACGGGCTTGGAGTATAATGAAATCTTCAAATGAGTCAATGTAATTTTTATAAAGATGGTGTTTTTCAACCTCATTGCTTCTTTTTGATACAAGGAGCAGCAATAGCCACCTTAAAGTTACAAAGATTTTGTTGGGTCATTAAAAATATTTGGAAGACAACTCAAATATAGCTAACCTGAGTAGAAACTCTAGTGAAGACTTTCGGCAAGACTATAAACACACAGAAAGTCTTTAAGATCTCTTTCTGGTTTTAAAATTCTATGACTACTGTATGTTGACAAACACTCATTTCAAAATCTATTTCAAATGAAAAGGTATAGTATTTGGTTAATTACTTCTTGGTAGAAGAATTACTCTAAGTAATCACCAAAGGCCATCATTCTTCTATTTGACTTCTGACTGTTAGTTTTTTTTTTTTTTGTTAGAGAGAAGAGGAGCCATACAAAATGATGGTCAGTATTTTTAAGATATTTCAAATAACAATAAAACATGACTCAAGTCCCAACAACGGTGCCTACATTCTCTGGATATATTTATTAGTCTTTTAAGAATAATAGTCAGTGTCAATCTATTTAATATAGTCCTGATACGTTAGAATTTCAGAAGATGCTTTTCCTATTGAGCAGATCTTGTGTTCCCATCCCCCATATTAAAATATGGGGCTGTTCTGTCACAAACAGCTTGCTTCACTTAAGGATTTTACTAATAAAACATAATGTTGTCTTAGATATTATGACTGTTGCCACAGCTGAACTGACTTGTCACATCAATCCTAATATGGCTCCCACAGGCACATAAAAACCTTATTTAGCTATCAGTTATCCTAATCACTTTGTTCAGTTTAAGAATGCAATACTTCAAGACCGTCTCCTATTTATACACATATGCCTAGCCATTTAATAAAGTCTTGATTTATATAAATTCTTGTTTAAAAAAATATTTAGAGATGTAGTATTTTAGCATGTGTATGTTTGCGCATTCCTCCATATGAATATGTGGAAACACAATGTGCGGTAGATGAGGGGACAGGGATGTTTAAGGTGGTGCACCCATGAGAAATGTTCTTTTAAAAGATACTAACTGCCACGAGAGACAAACGTGTCATCTAATCATAAGCTGATTCTCTGAAATCATTTGATGACCTCAAAGTCCACTTGTGTAAGAAACGAGAAAAGTGCTTACAGGAAAAGTACAACTCAAAAACATATGCAACTGGGAAGCTAAGACTGATGAGGCACAGAGCACACAAATATGCAGAACCATCTTCCTGCATCTAGTTACCCTAGTATGAGCAAAATCGTCTTTTTCATGTTTGGAAACAAACCCACCTTTACATCCTCTTGCTTAAAGTTGTTGTTGAATATCTGTAATACTGTTTCAAAAGAGACTGTGAGAGGCAGCATGAAATTCTCAAATTCGTCCTCATCTTCACCTATCAGAAAAACAAAAGGGTCACCACGGTTTAAAAGGCACGCTATTGTCCATTAGTCTCCAGAATGAGTGCTTCATTCAGGCTTCAAAATGTTCCTGAGAAGGGGTCAGCCTGCATTTACATCCATACCACATTTTGTGTTTTGGCTCATTGAATATTCTGGTGTTCTGCCTTCTCTTTTGCACCAAATAAAATAGCAAAATTACTTACCAGCCATTTTTTTTTCCTGGTTCTTTATTGGATCAAACCAATTCATGCCCCAGGCATCTCAGCCCTTCAGCTCTTAGGGCCCCCAGAGCTTCCCTGATGCCTCAAGGAAATTCACTTTAAAAGCCTCAGAGAACAGGATCTTACCCCGCTCTCTTTAGGTGCCAACGCCCTAAAGGGCTCACAGACTCAGGTGCCCAGATAGCTCTAAGTTATTATTCTCTTTTATTTATTTTCTTAAAAAATTAACTTGTTAATAATGTCAGGGAAACTTTTATCTGCCAAATTGGATGGGGTCCCTCATGGATCATTTGGATTTTAAGTACATTCTTCATAAGTATACTTCCTCTTACAATAAGCTTCCTTTTCTTCAAAGGAAAGAGGGAAAAGAAACATTTTCTATTGTTTTTTTCACTTTGAAGGTAGAGTCTTCACTTAACACATGGATATGCACAATTGACAATTTATATAGTATCCTTTTCAAAAGAGGTTGCCTTCAAATGAGAAAGTTCTCTCATTCATCCTATGCCACAGGGAACTGTAAGCCCCACGTCACTGAAGAGGAAACAGGCAGGGAAAGGTTAAGCAACTTGCTTAAGTTGGCATACTTAGTTGGAGGTGTAACTATATTGTCCAGACCTCTTGATTTCTATCAGTTTTTAAATAGAGCATTAGGGAAGAAACAAGATCTTAGAGAAGAGACCGGTGGTTCTCAAATGGGTCTCAAAGTTCAGTCCTTGACTTAGCAGCATCAGCATCATCTGGGAAGCTGTTAGATATAAAATCCCAGGTTCCATTCCAGATCTTCTGGGACCTAGAAATTTTTGTTTTAAGAAACCCTCCAGGTAATTCAGATGCATGCAAATGTCTGAGACACACCTGCCTATACATTATTCTACAGATAAGGAGACTGAGGTCCAAGGCCACATACATAGAAGATCTGTGGCAGAATTGGGATCTTTTGACTCTTAAATTGTGGCTGATCTGGCTGACCCTGATCTTTTGTGAATTCTCTTTTCCCTCTTACCTTATATAATTTGTTTCTGAAGTCCAACAGAATCAGGGACTTAGCTTTGTTCACAAAGAGATGTCAAAAAGCCACGAGTCTCTCCTAGTATGCTGTTCTAGACAAGGATCAGGGTGCTAGGTGAAGGGTAAGGCAAACCAAATGATAATCCCTGCTCTGTCAACTGGCTAAGTGACCAAGTTGTTCCCCCAGAAACACCTTCTGTCATCTGGTGATAACATTAGAGACCTTTACAAAAGCCATTCTTATTTTTCAAAGCAGAGGTCAAACGATAGCTTTCCCAATGTCTGAGCTAAGCTCCCCTTCAAGTACTCTCTAAGGTCCCACTGAAAGTACCCCGCTTCTTCCTTTGGGTTCCTATAGCATTTTGCCTGATTCTTTACCATAGACAGATCGATCAGTTTGCCACAAATTGCAGATATTTAGGCAGTTAGCTAATAACACTAATAACACCACTCACATCATTCCACCACTACCCACCATTTGAGGAAGGTTACTGTGGGGATTAAATGAGATAACATCTATAACATGCATATGTAAATTATTAGATCTATCAGCCTATATGGATAGTATCTTGGTTTTGCTTCTGGAGAGCCGAGACTGCATCTTTGTGTTTCTCTGTGAAGGAGAAAGACGTAGGCAAGATTCTCCAATAAACAGACCTAGTGTCTGGCTCCACCACATACTGTTCAATTTTAGATATTTAGCTAATCATAATTTAGCTAATATTTGAGTCTCAGTTTTCTCATCTATAAAATAAGGATAAAAATACCTACTTTGAGTGTCGTATATATTAAATGTTATTACACAGCAAAAATAGTGTGTGCTTAATAAATAGTAGTGGTAGTACTAGGATTATAGCATTAGCACCTAGAACAGTGCCTGGCACATATTAGGGAAATAGTGTATTTGAATGAAAAATAGTTGCTCAATTAAAGGTAAATTTTAAAAATACCTTATTCTCTTAACATTTGGTATAGAAAAATGACTAAATCCTTAAATATATAAACATATACGCACATTATATTTAAACTATGTAACCTTACTCTAAGGTAAAGTATTTTCTGCCATCTATCAAAATTCATCAAATTGTGTATCTGAAATATGTGCAGTTTGCTGTACAGGAACCATACCACAATAAAGGTGTTAAAAAAGATAAAGTTTTTCTAAATATGGAATTAATGAGAATGGTGATAATGATCACTGCAGGCAGATAAGCGTGCTGGAAAGAGTAGATGCTTTCAGAGCTCTGTGCTTGAATCCTGGCTCTACCCCTGTTAGCTGTCTCATTTTGGATAAAGTCTCTTCACTCATCTGTAATTAAGAGACATAATATGTACTTCATAGTTAGCTGTGAAGACTGAATGACAAAACACCTGTAAGTCCCCTTGCTCAGTGTCTGGCACTTAATAAGCGACAGTCATTAACATTTTTGTTGTTTTGAGTTTAACGTAGACTTAAAAGGGGTGATTACGGTGATCAAATTAAGCGTGACCTCAAGGTTGCTACCCCAATGCCCTTCCTTTGGGAAGAAGGTAAGGATGGCTACTCAGAACAAAGACAAACTCAGGACTTGAACATTTAAACCCTTCAGTTAGTATAGTGAGCTACAAATCAAAAAACTTCCTGACTCCCATCTCTTTGCTCAAATTTTGAGGCAAATAGGGGTATCAGGAGCACAAGAGACAAGCCACCAAAATCTGCAGGGAGAAGTTAAGGAGCAAATACTAAAGAAAGTAATGCGAGCAGCAATACAAATTAAGTGTCACTTCCTCAGAAAGGCCTTCCCTGACCACTCTATCTAAAACAGTACCACAGAGTGTCTTCCCCAGCCCTTACCCACTTTCTAACCCCATAAACCACTTCACTTTTCTTATGGGGCTTCCTATGACTGGCTATTAATTTACATATTTATTCATTGTCTTCCTTACTAGAATGTAAGCTCCTTGGGGAAGCAACTTGGTCTGGTTTTTTAAAATTAATTAATTAATGCTTGTTTTTTGGGGGGAGATAATTGCATTTATTTATTTACTTATGTATTTAATGGAGGTACTGGGGAGTGAACCCAGGACCTTGTGCACGCTAAGCACACACTCTACCACTCAGCTATACCATACTCTCCTCCAAACTTGCTCTGTCTTGATCATGGCTGTATCCTCAGTGCCCAGAGGGTCAGGCGCTCAAGAAATATTTGTGTAGTGACTGAATAACAGCAGTTATATTTCCCAAGTGCCTATTATGTGTAGGCATTGAATCTGGTACTTAATTTACTAAATAACCACCTATGTTCTTACTGTGTTCAAAGCACTGTTGCAAGTCATTAATGGTCACAACAATCCTATGAAGTGGTATGATTTTCTCTGTTAACAGAGAGGCTGAAAGAGTTACACCATTTGTTCAATATCCTCTGGCTGGTAAATGCCAGTGAACCAGGGTCCCCAGGAAGGTATGTTTCACTCCCAACCTCACTGTCTTCCCCCATGTCTCTGATGGGGTGGAAGGTGTCAGAGGTGGGAACTTAAGTCAGGGTCAGAGAATCTTCATTTTGCAGGTGCATGAAGTTAGAAGAGGGTGAAGAACAGTTAGCTTGGTTCTGAGGAGAAAAGAATTCCTCAGCAAATCACTAGGGTTTAATGCAGGCAAATGAGGGACAAGGGTGCATTATTCCTACAGAAATGTTTGTTTCAGTTAGCACTGTTCCTCTTACTCAATGTGATAAGTTGTTATCTTCTAAGCTAGAAATCTGGTCGTTTTTGTTTATGTCATGCCAACAACTTTATACAACACCTATTAATGAATTTTGTCCTAATTTGCATTACTCACAGAGGTATCATTTACTGTTTCTGATATGGAAAGAGAAAACATGAGGTCACTCTGTTACAACTTCATATTCAAGTATGCAGTCATATATTTAATACGCCAAACGTATGTGTGATCATTTTATGAATAATAATTGAAGCTGCCAGTTTTTTTCTAAAGAGGTAAGGGCCCACACACCAGTATAATTTGAAGATGAAGTGTCCATTTATAGGCTAATATTTTCACTGGCAGCAGGAAAAGTAATATTAACATAACATCATAAGGTTTCAGTCACGCATAGATAAAAATAATAATTCTTCAGCTTTTAGGGAAAACCCAAAGCTAAATCCCCTCTACTGGATTTTCAAGGATCTGATTTAACAGAAAGTTACTCATTTTATGACTTTCAATTTTTTTCCTCAGGTAACTCACATTAAAATACAAATAAATAGTATTTACAAATACATGAATAAGTATATAATTAATATGTTGGCTTTCAGATATTTTATTTGGAGGACACTTCATTTTTTATTTTGTATAATTTGAAACCTAGGATGGTGGGAATGTATAATGGTGCAGCCAATATAATATGATGCAGCCACTGTGAAAAACAGTTAGGCAGTTACTCAAAAAGTTAAACACAGAGCTGCTATATGATCCAGCAATTTTATTCCTAGGCATATACTCAAAGAGAACTGAACACATATGTCCATACAAAAACTTAACACACGAATGTTCAGAGCAGCATTTAGATAACAGCAAAAAGGTGGAAACAACTCAGCTATTCGTCAACTAATGAATGGATAAACAAAATGTGGTATATCCAAACAATGGAATATTAGTCAGCCACAAAAAGAAAGTATTGATACATGCTAAAAAATGGATGAGCCTCAAAAGCATGCTATATGAAAGAAGCCAGACACAAAGGTTGTATTATATGATTCCATTCATACTAAATGTCTAGCAT